AACGTTAATTTCAAACGTTAAATTCAATTGCAATTGAATTAAATTTTATGATTGTCATTAAACAAGATAAATCAGCGAAACGTTTTTTCGCATTTTTGTTTTCAAGGTCGGAATATTTGCCATAGTATATACAAAATAAGTATAATTTTTAAACTCAGATAAAATAACGTAGCGATGATCTTATGTATGTAACATCTTATGTATGTAACAAACAAGATCTTATGTATGTAACAAACATTACAATATTGTAATGTTTTATTCTCTAATGAAAACATTTTACTTTGATATGAAATGATTATTACTTCGTTTGGTAGTGTTTATGTTGACATTGTTGTTGTTTTTGTTACCCATAAATAATGACGTAATCGTGGCCACATGTCAGCCTATTATTGGCCATGAATAAGATCTAGTTATAATATAAATTTAGGTAAGATAAAAAATTTGTTTTAATTTTAAAGTTGAATCTATTTGATTTGTATTATTTACATTACTTATTCTATTTTATTATTTTCATAGTAAAACGTAAGTAGTAATCACAAAAATATAGCAAGTTAATGTTTTTTTTATGACCTCTGCTAATTTGAAAACATTAAAGTGTTGTGAAGCGTTTCAAAGTCTATTGTTTGTTTAGCTATTAAAAAAATGAATTGAATTTGAAAAAGTAAAAATTTATGCAGAACTTAATTAAACTCGAGGCAGTAAATTTGTTTTGTTTTTTATTTAAATTTAACAATATTGTCACCACTTTTACTTCGTAAATCGTGATGGCCAGGAATAAGTTCGTACCGGCCATGATATGTTGTTTTATTTATATGCTGTATTTGTGCTAAATCTTGTTAATTTATCGACAAAAATTAAAACTTATCGACAAAAATTACCAAACTTGCCATAAGTTGTATCTCTAGAAGTTTTTTTAACAGTTTAGAAATATTTTTTCATGAACTAAAGCCATTCGCGGTAATATACGACGCAGTTTAAAATTAAGTAGCCTGGTATGGAACGCCAAAGCTGCCTTAAGTGCGTTCAGTTTATTATGCGATGTGCTCACTACATTATTTGCTGTGCTTATTGCATTATACAGGACTACATTATATGTTGCGCTCATTTCATTATATGATGTGGTGATTAAGTTATACGCTGCGCTAACTACATTATATGCTGTGCTCACAACATTATATGATGTGCTCACTACATTATACGCTGTTCTTACTACATTATATAATGTGCTACAATATTATATAATGTGCGCATTACATTATATGTTGCGGTCATTACATTATATGTGATAATACATTATATGAAGTGCTACTACATTATGTGTTATGCTCACTTAATCATATGATATTTCTTTATACGATGTGCTCATTGGATTTTATAATGTGCTCACTACATTGTACGATATGCTAAAGTATTATATGATGTGCTTCTACATTATATAATGTGCGCAATACATTATATGATGTGCTAAAGCATTATATGGTGTGATCATTATTTTATAAAGTTATGATACTTTATAGATTACACGTATGATTTTTAAAAAGAGGCAGACCATCAGCTAAAGAGCAATGCAAGATCTTGGACTTTTTCATCTGATTACAAACTTTCAACGGGAAAATATAACTAGAAGAGCGAAAGAAAAACAGTCTTCATCGCAGAATCTACAATGTAAAAGGGCCGAATCATCTATGGCACGTTGATACGAATCTCAAGTTAGTACGTTGTTATTTTATAATAACAGGAGTTATAGATGATTTTAGTCGTTTTCCAGTTGCCCTTGCGTGTTTAACCAACAACAAAGCTAACACCGTATTTAATTGCTTTTTAAAAGGTGTTAATGAATTTGGCCAACCAAGTATAGTCAGATCAGACAACGGTATAGAAAATGTACTTATTGCAGATTACATGATTGCGAATCGTGGAGAATGTAGAGGAAGTATGTTAACCGGTAAGAGTACTCATAGATTTATTCGATATACTAAATACTGATAAACTTGATATATGGAGACACGCAAAGGCAAATCATCGTATGCGAACGATTAAGACAGCACCCTTAAAACTTTTGGGTGAGTGGACAACTCAATAATCCAATAAGTTTTGAGCTTAACAATAACGAGCTTGAAAACTACGGCATATTACACATACATAACTTATACATAAAATGATACATAAACAAATAAACTATGCTAGAATAATTAAAGTCGTGACAAATACTAAACCAACTGCATAATAATCTTCAGGGAATGAATCGAGTATTCAATTGTTCAAATATTTTCCCCTAATCTTTCGTAAAATAATTTTAAAGAACTCTTTCCTTGTACCTCCAAAATCTTTAGCATCCTTATTTTATGAACAAACGTTTAAAATTGTTGTTCTAGTTATTATATCAGGAACAAATCATCAAAAGCAATCTAAAAATCATCAAAAACAATATAAAAAAAACAAATGAAATTATTTTGAATGATATAGTTAATGCTATAAGAGTTACCTCGTTATAAAATTGTACTTCCAGAGTAATCAATTTATTTTTAATATCTAGCAACTCTTCAAACACAGTCGTTAATATATTTCAACGATCAACAAGAATAAAAGATGTCTCTCCATCTGGACAAACAGCAAGGTCTGTGATTTCAAGAGGACTTCCAGTCATCAACTTTTTTTTGCATATATCGCAAAAATTCAACAGGTTTTGTGAAATACTTTTCTCGTGACAGTATTAAATAGTATTTTCTATTTTTGTATCTAAATCTTTTTTAAAAACATCTACATTTTTATTACAATTTATTGGAGAAATAGATAGATCACTCTCGTTCATGTTGTTATTTTTAGATTCCAAAATGGGTAAAAACAAGTTAACATTTGGTGATTCATATTCTGGCAGCTCATACTGGGGTAAAGGTTGCATTGTATAACAATTTTGTTGCATACATATTTGCCATACACAAAATTAACAGTCAACGTTCTTCTCCTCTCTTGTTCCGCTTTGTGACTAGCATCTAAATATATTATACATTATATCTTTTTAGGTTTCTACTTTTAACTGTGTATAGTGTTGAAATCAGCAATACAAAATGTAATCTCAAAATCATTTACACAAGTGTAGAATAGATATTTGACAGTTAGATGTCTATTAAAAAACTAAGAATTTATAATAATTTGTCAAAACACAATGCATGTAACTAGTGATCCTCAAGGGAATTCCGGGATCCTCAAGGTAATTCCCGGGAATCTCGTTGGTCAACTCCCGTTCCCGTTCCCGTTTTTTTTCGAGAAATTTCCGGGAATTTTTTTGATTTATTCTTTTTATTGTAGTTTATTTTAAATTACTTTTCTTATCGATTTCTTTTATTTACGCTAAACTAAAGTCAGTTTCACGCTGTTTGTTTTAATTACTTTTCTTAATGATTTGTTTTTATTAACGCTAAACTAAAGTTTGGCGTACTTCTTTAATTATTACTGCTGACCTCGCGTTTGTTTTTTTCTCCATATAAAATTGAATTGTGTTGAAATTTTGATAAATATTAGTTGAAGAAACTTGGAAATGGTTTTGAATTGAATTGTCATCGGGTTCTGAGCTATCTTGAAAGTTTCAGAGCTCTAGCTGGTCGGGAAGCGGGCTTCAAAGATTCTAACTGGACGGACAGACAGGCAAATGCACAAGAAAGTAACCTTATAAAAACGTTGTAAAAACGCGTAAAATTAATTAGTAATTAGTTATTCTATTAATTAGTATAAGCATGGAAGTATAATAGAGAAGGAAGTTCATCAGGCGGTAAACATCAATGCAATTTCAAGTCTTCCCGGGAGTATGCTCGTAACCGACAATAAAAAAAAAGAGTTTCACTGGACAAAAAAACAACAAAAATTTACTGGAATGATTTTTATCAAAACATCAAAAAATGTATATTCCATAGATATGCCACTTCGTTTTAACCATTACTTGTTATAATTATCTAACAGAACCTTAATTACAACTTGGTAAATATTTAGAATCACTATATTTCAAAAGCGTATATTGGTAAAAGCAGATTTTCTTGTTTTTAATCATAACACGACATTTGATTAAATAGACTACTTAATAAATTTTTAAAAAATTAAAAAAATTGTTCTGTAAATAACTAAAGATTATAGTTTCGTTGGGTTTATATCATAACTCCATTCATGCTAAATATACTCCATTCATTTAACATAAAGTTTGACAAAATATAGCTCGTTGCCGTTTCGTTGTCGCCATTTTTAATTTTTGCAATTGAATATTGTTGGCGAACCGTCAAAGTACTTATTTTAAAATTTTAATAAACGTATCTATTTGCGTCATCGTATAAAAATTTACAGTCTTGATGTAGTTTTCTTTTGTTTGCGAAACAAAAAGTTACAAGCATAGTCCCGAAGATTTTCAAAGCGATTGAACTTCCATCTGTTTTATACTTCCGTGGTATTAGTTATAGTTATTTTTTAAAGTGTAAAGTGCGTTGTGCAAGTTTTTTTAAAAGAAAGTGAAAAAGTTATTTACGACAAATTATCAAAGGTAAATATAGTACATATTATGTTATTTATTTTTCTAAATCTTTTTCTTTTTTTTTATTTCTTTTCTTTTTTCTTCATTTATTTTATCTTCATATCTTATCATTTAATTTTAAATAGCATGTCTTTTGTGTGGAAGCACTTCAAAAGGGAAACTGGCAACAAAGATAAAGCACGCTGTGACATAGACTTGGGCAATCGAAAGTGTAGTGCTGTTCTTAATTGTGCTGGAGGTTCAACAAAGGGTTTGATAGAACATCTAAAGCGTGTTCATCAGATACTTGATCCATTGAAATCTGGACCGACAACTAGCAACCAAGCTCAACCAAGCACAAGCAGCACTGGCAATCCTATAGTAGAGAGGCAAAAGCTAATGACAGATTTTACGAGAGCATCGTTTGAGAAAACCATTTCTAAAGAAGTTGCTTTAAATGGGTTGAACTTTGAACAGATCGTTAACTCAGATATAATAGCAGAGCATGTGAAAGAGAAGTTTCCAATGAAAAACTTCCCAAAGAATGGATCTGGTGTTGCAAAGATTGTTCGAGGTTTTCATGAAGACATCAAGGCTAAAATAAAATCGTGGATTCAAACTCATCTAGCTGAAGGACATTTCTTTTCAACAACCCTTGATGAATGGACTTCTACTGCAGGGCGACGTTTCTTGAACATTAATCTTCATTATTTTGAAAATGGTGTTGATAAAGAAATCAATTTGGGCATGGTTCCAATTTATGGAAGTGCAACTGCTCTTAACATCAAAAAACTAGTAAATTGAAATTATAATCTTTTTCTTTTTTTAGGTTTCCTATCATTTTATTTTTTATTTTTTTATTAACAGTTCGAAGCAAGATTGATGGAATTTGGTTTGGATCCAGAGAAACATATTGTTGGCACTTCTGGTGATGGTGCGAGTGCTATGGTATAATTTGGTTCTATGATCGCATCAGAATACGTCCAGTGCAGCGATTATGGAATTCATCTGGGTGTTACTAAAGTTCTTTATCTAAAGAAACAGTCAGCAGATACTCCAGTGAATGACGACGACGATGATGTCTTTTTCGTTGAGTGTGGAAATGAAGATGAACCTGATGAAGATGTACATGATGCCGGTGAGGACACAGAATCAGACGATGAAGAGGAGGCCGACTCACTTCAAATGGTTTTCGCTTATCAATCAACGATCACCAAATTGAGAAAAATTGTGAGCCTTTTCCATCGATCATCGGTCAAAAATGAAATTCTTCAAAAGTTCGTTAAGAGGATGAACAACGGGAGAGAACTTAAGCTGAAGTTAGATTCAAAGAATCGTTGGGGAAGCCTTCATGATGCTTGCGAAAGGTTCTTGAAGTTACTTGGACCTGTGAAGGAAGCTCTGAACCACAGGGAGATTGACAAAACCTACTTATGGGCAGATAGTGACTCAAAAAGATTGGAGGAGCTGGTAGAAGTTCTGAGTCCAGCGAAGTTGGCAATTCAATTCTTGTCAAAGAAATCAGTAAATCTCATCGATTGCAACACAACTATCAAGTTTCTCTTGGACAATCTAGAAATGCATGATCATCAGCTCTCGCAGGACATCTTCTTGGCTATCAAAGAGAAAATCAACAAACGCAGACATAACGTTCTTCAATCACTCATCCTTTACTTGCACGACATCAACAGCATTAATGGGCCGAATCACTTTGCTTCATCGACTGTTGCAGCTATGAGCAAACTTGCTGTGAAATTGATGGAAAGACTCTTCAGTACTGAAAATGGTGATTGTGTGGAACAACCTAAACAGCAAGAAGAACCATCAGCATTAACATCACAGCAGGTTCAAAGAAGTTTAGCTGAGAAACTGACACTTGCCTTGATAGCTTCAAGAGAGGTCACCAACAAGCAGGCGGGCAAAGTTATTGACTACAAAAAGGAGATGCAGATATATGCGAAGACAAAATTACGCTCACCAACTCTGGATAGACTTTTCGAGGGACTGAATACAATTCAAGCAACATCAGTAGCTGCAGAACGTCGTTTTTTGGAAGCAAATACTCTTGTGAGCAAAGTTCGCAATGCTATTTCTTTTCTTAAATGTTATTTCCGAAATAAATTAATAAAGTAGATTCCAACATAAATGTTGAGTCCTTTGTATTGTTTTTTGATTAAAAATTTTCAGGTTTTAGAAAGAAAAAAAATACTGGAAAGCTCATTCCCGGTAACGGTAATTCCCGGGAATGAGCTTTTTCATTCCCGATATTCCCGAAATTGAAATTCCCGGGAATTTGAGGATACATGTAACTTTTATAGACAATTTTTAAATTCTGATAAAAAAGTTTTATAGTTAAAGTTTCTTCTTATTTTTTTTTATGAGTTTATTATTCTTGTTATAGATTTTTAAAATTTAACATTAAAAAAAATTAACTACTATATTTTCAAATATTACAAGTAAATTTACCAATAGGATTTGACAAACAGACATTTTGATTAATAAAAACAAGTCACAGTTAATAACTTAACAAATCAAAAGCTAGTAACATCTAACTTGTTTTTGGTTATTCAAATTGTTAACAATACAATATATTGTATTATACATTCATGTTATTGTTAATAATAGACACCATCAGTGGTAGCCAATTCAAAAATTTAATGAATTTGTTAAATAATAACTTTTATTAAACTAAATTTTCTTTATAGTTAACTAAAGTAACTAGTTCTAAATTCTACAAACTAGTTTTGACTAAATATTTTTGAAAAATACCTTTACTCCCTCTCACTCCTCTTCCTCTGAACAAACAATCTCTTTCTGATAACCTTGCTTGAAATCTTCCAAGATTTAACGATGATGAAAAAGTGAAATTTTCATTTTGATTTGCATCGTCTGGCAATGACAAGGTACATTTTCTTGATTGTTGTTACTGCTTGTTTCTACAAGAATCTTCAAGTCTGATTTTATCACCAAATGTGATAGCTCCAAGTCTAGATAGCTCCTCATCAGATGCAGCTAAAACTGACAAAATATCCAATATTTGTTAAAACATCAAAATAGCATTATTTGTTAAAACATCAACTATCTTATTATCTGCTACAAAGGGTTCCATTTTTAAAAGTTAAATATATATTTTAAAAAAAAACCCTTTTTCTAAATTTCACCCTCCTTTAAAACTCCTCCGTATAATGTAGTGAGCACATCATATAATGCAGTGAGCACGTCATATAATGCAGTGAGCACATCGTATAAAGAAATGAGCACACTATATAGTAAAGTGAGCATAACACATAATGTAGTAGCACTTCATATAATGCATTATCACATCATATAATGTAATGACAACAACATATAATGTAGTGCGCACATTATATAATGTAGTAAGTACATCATATGATATAGTAAACACAGCGTATAATGTAGTGAGCACATCATATAATGTTGTGAGCACATCATATAATGTTGTGACCACAGCATATAATGTAGTTAGCGCAGCGTATAATGTAACCACCACATTGTATAATGCAATGAGCGCAACATATAATGTAGTCACCACATCGTATAATGCAATAAGCACAGCAAATAATGTAGTGAGCACATCGCATAATGAACTGAACGCACTTAAGGCAGCTTTGGCGTTCCATAGCCAGGAATCGGTGGTTTTACCATATGTACAATTTATCTACAAAACTAATTGAAAAAAAAAATCTGTTAGAATTATAACGTGTTTTTATTTTACCAATTAAAAAGTAAATTAAAGTTTACGATTATGATTATATGCTTTTAACAACTCGATGATTTTATTACTGAATTAGACAAAAAAAATTTAGTTCTGATTGAGACTTGTGTACCATCTGTATATTTCATACTGTATCATCACGGTTGCAGCAACCTAATGGAACTTTTAAAAGTTCCAATTGGTTACTGCAACCGTGGGGATACAATGGTGTAACCGTGGTGATGCACCGACATTAGATACAGTGGTGTAACCCTGGATTAGATACAGTGGTATAATCGTGGTGATACACCGACATTAGAGTTGTATTTGTTGGGGTAGCGTCGGCCCAACGAATACAACTCTAATGTTGGTGTGCTGTTCAGGAAGTTTTCTAATTAAGGTGCTGCTTTGCTTAAGTAAACTCTCTATATATAAGTAAATATTTTTACAACGTTTATGTAAAAAAAATTTAAATAACAACTTAAACCCTCAGTATTCTATAGGCTGAGGTATTCACAGCCACTTTAAGCTTGGTGAAAATTGAAATTTTTCTATTAAATTATGGAAAAGATGACAAAAATACCGGACGCTATTATGTTTAAAAAAAAATAAAAGATGTACAAAAAATTTGTAAATATCACAAAGTATTTTTATATATTTGGTTGGCAAAACTATAACTTCTACCGGGGACATTAGCATCATCGGGGATATTTTTGTGCCCCCGCAAGCATTGTTTTTTTGTAATAAAAATGCTCCCATAAATAACTTTTACACAAAGTGAAAAGTACTTACATCGACTATCTTACAGCTTGCTGCTGTAAGGAATGTTGCTTTATCGACTGAAGATTTGGTCAGGTCAGGATTAAGGTCAGGCTTAGTGTTAGGTTTAGGGTTTGGATTAGGGCTAACAGAGGCTAGGGCACGTTATACCTTTTTTATTTTTAGATTACCGATTTTGGCAACGCACATCACGGATCAATGTCAGTTAGCCTAATCTTTGCGAGAGTGATGAATTAAAACCACCGACTTTAATCATATATTTAGTTTAGACGCATTTTGTTTCTAACATAAATTAATATTTAGTGCTGTTAAAGTTGTGTTATTTTTTATAAATTTCAAACAAAAAATCTTATTATATAATAATGTGTTTGATTCCATCAAAACTTTAAAATTATACTATTTAAAATTTTCAAATATGTTAAAGATTATATTTAAAGATTTTTTAATAAAACTATCCTATCAGTGTCCAATCAAACTCTACTATTTAGAGACTAATATAGTTATATAATTATGTAAATTATATAATTATAAATTTTGATTAGATAACCCACTAATATCCTATAAAAAATCATTAAATAACCACTTAACATATTTATAAACAACATTAAATATGAGCTATTTGAATCTCTTAAATATGAGCGCTTGATACTAACTGTAAATTAAAAAAAAAATTAAATCAATCAAACGTCAAAAAATGCTTCACAATTATACGTTGAGTTTTTAAATTTTCCACATTGAATCAGTGAGTGTCAATACCAGTTAAATCACAAATTTCAATTTTTGTGATTTAACTGGTATTGACACGTGACATTTTTACCTAAAGAGATATAGGATCGCAACATGTGAAAACCCGTGATATTTTCAGAAATACATTAATAAATCGTTTTGCTTTTACTCGAATACAGTTATTTTATACAGCACCCCTTCCTCCTTGAAGGTTATGTTATATAAATAACTTATATCATAATAAACATGATAAAAACAATAAAAAAAAGTAAAAATGGGTATTAACAACACAGCATTACAAATACAAGTAATATAAGCAAACTTCAAGTTAAGGTATTGTGACTCTTCCGACTAATTTACAAACGAAGACCACATATAAAGATCCACAATCATAAGCTCAGCTCACTAAAGAGCCCCATATCTCATTTTAACCGAATAACAGTCAGTAAGTTTGTAGAAGTACATAAATAAATTATAAGTCAGAAGTGGATTAGAAAGCGAAAATAGAGATATGAGGAAAGGCAGATCAGTAAAAAAACACCTAAAGATTTCGCTACTAGATCAATTGTTTAAATATGTTTCAGTTTCGAACTTCGAATTTAGATTGTTAATGATATTGCCCCAGCAAACACTGTTGAAGTGAATTTGCAGTGGATATATAGTGGCTAGCCTTTCAACATGTGGTATAGCGGTTAGTCATTGGCTAGCCACTTTTGAGCAAAACTACAGTGTACTGCTCAAAATGCCTCTATCGGTTCTTTAAAATTCCGCTATAGAATGTTTGCTGGATTTCTTAGTTAAAAGTATGCCCCAATTCAAAAGTATGCCCCAGCATAATCGGCATAAATTTATACATCGTAATACGTGTTTGCTTATGAGTTTACAAAAACTTAAAAAACAAAAAATCGAAATTTTCGAAAATCGAAAATATCTTGATCACTGCATTAATTAGTTACTTATTAATTAGAAAAGACGAGTATTTCTATTTAAAAAATAATAGCATAATGAAATCTATGTAGAATTTAATATTATTTGTATCTTTATGGAAATGTGGTAATTTTAGCTGTAAAAACTTTAAAGTTTTTACTTGAAATGCTTTAATTTAAATGTTTAAGTTGAGTTACAGAAACATATACTTATCTTTTTGTAAGTTACAGAAACATATACTTATCTTCTTGTAAGTTACAGAAACATATACTATCTTTTAAGATGTTAAAAATGTTATGATTCAAAAATAAATGTAAATTACTTTGTAGCGCTTATCTTAATATCTTATTTCAGCGTTTATCTTATTATGATGTTTTATAAACTGTTCTTTAAAATTTTTAAAGAGGTCGAGACGTCTAAAAAGTGTGTTATCTGTTGCAGTTGTCCTGGTTTTTCCATAAAAGAAAGTAATAAAGTATAGTTTTAATTTAAATTAGTTTAGTGCTGCGCTCTCCTACGTAAAACCCGGGACAATGGTCAACCTAGTTATCTATGATGATGGTTTAAGACTCTACCCTTTATAAATCTATTTTTAAATATACATTTTTTGTATTAAATATATTTAATATATTCAAGACGTCTAAAGACGTTTGAAAACTTTGTTTATATCGAGCATTTTTATGTCATATATAAAGGCACATTTTAAAAGACATATAAAAGATGTCTTCTTTTAAAACATATGGACTTTTTTGTATAGAAGACGTCTAACAGTCATTCTTAATAATGCATCATTATCTAGACGCTTTTTGAATGTCTATAGACATCTAGAGTGCGTCACTTTACTGGGATTAAAATGTTGTATTTTACTTAAATAAAATTTTTTTGAATGAAAAACAACATTTTTATAATAATATTTTAATAATTAAAATATTTTTAACGCAATTTTAAATTTTGTTTTTTGAGCTTAAAATCTCGATTTCGGTGAATGCTGTTGTTTTTTGATTGTAACTTTTTTAAGGATTTTTTTTTCGACGTTTATTTTAAGGACATTTATTTTAAGAACGTTTATTTTGAGGAGGTTTATTTTGAGGACGTTTATTTTAAGAATAATTAGATAATTAGTTTATTTTTAGAATAATTAGTA